CCTCAAACGCAAGGCCCGATCTTTGGCTCAGGGTTTCGGGTTTAATGTGGTAGTCCGATTCAGAAACCCCTGGTTAGGTGGGAGGAGCTACTTTGAAGTCGAAGTAACTGCGACTTGACTCCTCAGGTGGTTGGGTCCACACCCCAATCACTCGAACTGGTGGGCTCCAGAACCGTAAACCTGAAATCCCAAACCCTGAAACGCCAAGAACCTAAACACTAACACCTGCAAAACCCACCTAAACCTTAAACACGCCAACCGGTAAACGTGGAGGTGACCTCTTCTTTACTCCCACTTACAGGATCAGGGGACTCTGTAAGTAGGGCTATAGTGCCTCGAATCAGGGTCCTATTGCTGCCCTGCTTACATAGCCCTCTGCGCCTTTAAACAATAAACTCTCTCAAAACCCCTGGCAAAACGGAAACCAGACCCCAGTAAAACCGTGTGAAACCCTGGCAAATCCTAAATCTCAAGCCCTACCCCCCTAAACCCTAAACCCTAAACCCTAAAGGCCAAGCCTAAACCCTAAACCCTAAACCCTAGCCCTATAATAACCCCCAAAACCCTAAACCCCAAACCCTAAACCCTAAACCTTAAGCCCTAAACCCTAAGCCCTAACCCTCCATTAAACAAAAACGGAAGAAGGCCCAGGGCCCCGGCCCTCTCGGCCTCCTTGATCCTTGCAGGCTCGGGAGATCAGGGCTCGGAGCTTCGGAAGGGCTTTTAGGGGTGAGGGGTTTAGGGTTTAGGGCCTAGGATTTGGGATTTAGGGTTTAGAGGGTTTAGGGTATGGGAGTTGTGGCTTCGGGGCTGGGGGCTCAGGGATTTAATGTCTTTTTTAGGGTTTTGGAGGTGATGGTTTTGGGGTTGAGACTTGAGGGTTTAGGGTTTGAGGAAGGTGGTCGAGCTTGGTTCAGCATCAATGCTAGAATGATTTACTGTCGGAGTCAGAAAGGCCTCGCCACAGCTTGGAACCACACCGCCCAGAATCAAACCCCTACGAACGCCCCATGAGCCCCTTTCAAGCTTCTAGACTTGGCAAATCTCATCGGGCTCACTGAATCATTTGGGCTTGAGCAAACATCCCCTGCGATGTATGATGCAAGAAAGAAACTCAGCACTCCTTCACGGGGTTGCAGCAGGCGGGTGCAGGAAGCCAAACGCCACCCAAGCCCCGCAAACCGAGATTCAGAGATCCGGAACCTTAGATCTCAGAGCTGCAACCCTGCACCCTTGACCCAGTAACTTCAATTCTAAACCCCAAACCCTAAACTCCCACACACCAATGCCTGTTCCTTATCAGGCCTAAACCCTAAGCTCAAAAGCCTCCTCTTCTGAACCCACCCACCCAACCATACAGAGACCCCTAGGTGCTGCCCCGGATCTGCTGCGCTTCGTCTGCCTTGCGCTTCTGTTGAGCGTGGGCCTCGCGCGCTTTTCCGAGAGGCAGGGTCTACTTCGTGGCTTCGGGCCTCTTTAGACCCTAGAGATCAAGCAGGTGTGGGGGTTTGAGGATTGAAGGAGTTGGGGATCCATGCTCGATAGCTCTTGGAATTCTTTTCGGGGGCTTCGGCTGTAGGGACTTAAGGCTTGGGGTTGCGAGTCTAGGGATTCAGGTTTCTAGGCTGCCTATCAATCGCTCCAGGGCTTCATTTTCAGGATTCCCGACAACCGAAAGTAGTTAAAGGCACGCTACAGGTTGCCGCGGTTGCAAAACGCCTCGGTATCTAGGGCAGCATTGTTGTGCTTTGTACACGTTTCTCGCAGCACCCAAAAACCCTACAGAGAAGAAGCCCTCAGGCTCACATGCTCTGCACCTGAAACCCGAAACACTGGAGAGGGGCACGAACCCCGAAAGCCCGAACAAACACACGGCCTAGAAGCACGAGGCCCTAAAAGCATAGGTTTACGGTAGGAGATATTCTGCAACCTCATAGGCCTGTCTTTGGGCCTGAAATGAAGCTGGGGTCAGGTAGCTACAGGTTTGAGTTCAAGTCCTCAACACGTCGCTGTAAGGCTTTACTCGGCATGTAGGTTGTGGGGAGGTGGAGCTTTGCCACTGCACCCACCATGTTATGAGGCAGGTCCTTGGCACCGCCACCGGTGAGGTCTTGGATCAGGGACATGAAGGACGTGCTGGTTGTCGTGACCTCATTGCGGCATGCTTCCAGGCAGATGGAAGGAACATGCCGGAAGCCCGTACCTTGGCATTTGCAAACAGATGCTCGCACATGGAAACCTCTAAGCCCTCGACTTTGAATGTCCCGTGCACTCGCCCTGAAACCCTTCAACCTGCATACTCAGCTCCCTGTGACCCTGCTCCTCAGCCAGCCATAACTTATAACCCACAACGATTCGCCTCTCAGAGCAAGCCAACCAAGCCCCAACCGTTTAGGAAGAAAAAGGCTCAATCGAGTCAAAACTCAAAGTCTAAACCCACGCGTTGAGTGGCCAGCCGAAGCTTTCGGCTTCAGCGACGTCGAAACCGTTTGAGACTGCGTCGACACCTGTGGCAAAGTGAGACGTGCAGAGGTCCGTCTGACAGAAGATCGTACAGGGCGCTCATGGTGTCATAGATATCTCCTGCGTCTTTGCGTGCAGCGACATCTTGGGGTTAGGGCCAGGATGTAGCCAAGCCGTCCTTCACGGAGCTTTGCAAACACCAGCTTCGAAGTCTGGTGGCTCAACGGTACAATGCTGAAACAGTCACAGTTTGACGTAATATAGGCGCCTTAATAATTAGAATAGGTTTCTCGGGGCCCATTATACTATAACCATAAAATAAGGAACCCCCAAAATAGTCTTGATATTTTTTCAGGCCCCTACATTAAACCAGCTTGTAAGTTTCAGGAAAGGCTCAGGCGCCGGGCCAGAAAGCTCCGTCCGGATTGGGGAGGCGTGGAAAGACTCGGGGGGCCCTTCATCTAGAGCGATTGCGATCTGTTCAGACTCTAAACCCTGACATCTAAATGAGAAGAACTTAAAGCGTAAACCTTAAACCCTATAGAAGCTTTAGACGACTTAGATGAGACAGCAAAAATCAAAGGCAGGGCAGAGCGGCCTGATGCGAGGAGCCCTCTGGCCTTGGACCGGACAGGGCTTTTAGTTTACTTCCACCCCCAAAAGCCCTCATATAGGGGCCTTAATAATTTCAATAGGGTCCTTGTGGGGGTTCTGTTGAAAGGTTCCTTAAAAGGGTTCTATAAGGGGTACTATAAGGGTTTAGGGTGTAGGGGAACTCAAGGAGATGTACCAGATACCCCCAAACCCCTACCTTTGTGATCGCGTAAGGGAGATGTATGGTAAGCCAACGCAAAAAAGGCATGGTGGTTTTGGAAGGGTTTTGCTAGGGCTCATGGCTTCAGGAGTTGGAAGAGACGAGGAATGAATTCGAAGGGCTGCTCAGGGTTCAGCTTTTCAGGGATCTGGGGAGGGGGAGTATTCCGGCGCTTCTGGTGTCTAAGGTTCCAGGTTTCGTCCAGCCTTTTTAGGGTTGTGGTCTAGGGGGATATGATGTAAAGCCCTAGCCGCCAGTCCAGAATCGGGCTGCGGACCCTTCCGTCGAACTCTCCATGGAAGCCGAAGCTGCGGACCTTAGCGCGGCTGCTTGTCTTTTAAGTCTTCCGTTCTCGCATAGTACCGTAGCATCAATGCTTGGGGTTGTTTGTCTCAGACAGCAGGGCTTTATACCCCATGGTTCTGGCGTTGAAAGCCCTTCTTAAGACATGTCAACCGAACCCTATCAAGGTCCAACGTTCAACTACAGCTCGGGACCATAGAGCCCCTTGTGATTCAACAGCGCCGCCAGTGGAAACCTCGGTTCCGGACAGGACTTGGAGAAAGCTCAGCCGCTTGCTGCCACCACTGCCCTGCCGACAAGTTCAGTAAAGCTTCGGCTTCACATTCGCAGAGGCAGTATGCCCAAGGCTCAACTTAAGACCCCAACAACTAAGAAACCCTATTATAAAGCCCTATAATAACACCCACAACTCTAAACCCTATGGGCTTGTTTGGGTGAGAGGCTCGGGATAGATCATGACGGTTGTTGGCTTAGAGTTTGGGGGTTAGGGTGTAGATTCTGTAGGTCCTTAGCCCACGAGCCCTGCACTCTAAACCCAGGGGAAGACCCTTACTCTTCTATCCCGACACCAGAAATCCCCCGAAGCCGAACCCAGAAAAAACTCAAAACCTGGAACCCTGAAGAACAACTGAAACCGCACAGAATGACACCGGTAATAAAAAAAATCAACCAAACCTAAAGCTCGTCAAACTCAAAACCCTGAGTTCAACAAGCCCAAAACCGTATTTTATGAAAGCTACACCCAAAGCCCTGCAAGCCCAAAGCCTCAATTAAACGGACCAGTCCTTGCCTTACTGTCCTGGCGCCTACAGACCCTAGTCTACGGCCCAAGCCCCCGACAGAGTCCGGACAAAGGGCGGCCTTCGACTGCTGCGAGGTCTGATGGTTGGATCCGCCATCCTGGAATCGCTCCGGAGTTTGAGGTGCAGCAGGGTTTAGGTATAGGGCTCTTGTCGAGCAGAACAACTTAAATTTTTTGCAAGGGCACTAGATTCGAAGTCTCCGGGTTTCGGACTCGAGGGCTTGATTGTTTGCGTTGCGGTCTTTTCGCATTTTTCGCAACTCTTCATCCGTGCTGGCCTCTCTCTCTCTCTCTCTCGCTCTCTCTCTCTCTCTCTGTTTCTCTCTCCTCCTTCACTTTCTACGGTCATCTGTGTCTGTCCTGTCATTTGTTGTCAGATTGCCACAAGAAGTTCTGATAAACAGCTAGCATCAAAAGCTGTGCGTTGCCTGTACGACATAGCAACTGCAATCATGCTGTCTTCTGCAACTGATGTCACCGATTCCTGTCCATGAGCTTCCAAATAAAAGCATATGGCTCGGCTAGCCGTGATGCATGGTGGTTCAGTGTCAAAAGTACTTTCCTTCGAGGGAAAGTCGTTTTGCATCATCCACGAGCTCGACGTTGAGCTCATATAGCTCATGTTATATAGGCGACCGAGCTCCGACAGTTTGAGTCGTGCAAGCTCTGGATATAACGGATGTATTCAAGCAACTGTTCGTTCTCACGCCGTCCGTTCAGAAGCTTGTGCTCATGCCGCCAAACTTCAATCTCGTACTGTTTGGATTCAGCTTCTTGCCGTTGCCCTCGACGCTCGAAGCATGCAACCTGCTGCCGTGCAGCTTTAATCCTACGAGCCCTCGCATATCCAGCATTGTCCAGTCGCTTTGCAAACTGCTGATTACCAGTCAGATCGGCCAACTCTGCACGGATGCTTGCTGCATTCTGTCTTGTGAGGGTGACAGCCAGTGCGGCCTGCCTCGCTTTGCCAAGCAACCCAGCACCCAAAAGGTGGTGCAAGACCTGCTTGCAAGCGGGTAAGCTATGAATAGCGAGTTCATGCATGCGTGCGCAAGCGCGGACGCGGCATGACACATCGGCAAGCCTGTTGTGCTCCAAGAACTCTCGAAGGCATTCCAACACCGTTGGATACTTCTGTGTGATGATCAGAGAAAGCGACGCTGCACCTCTACGCTGGTGAATGCAACCCTCCGCATCGAAGAAACCAGCAAGGTATTCCCAGCTGCATGTGCCAGCAACTGCGGAGTCATAGTCTTTCAAGCTGCGCAGATGAGTCTTGCACTCCTCTCTCTGGGCTTTCGACTCAGGCCACATAGCAGCGAGCAGCAGCTGTTTCTGTTTGGTGATGCTGTGTGGTGCCAAAAGCCGTGCAGCTCTTCGACATGACTGGCCACATACCCTCCACCGAAGAACAGGTTTGCACAGACCCACCCCAACCATCCTGTCAGCGGTGATTGCTCCGCCGAACGTGTTGCGGAGCAACATCAGAACTTCAGCCTGATCAAAGGACTGACTTACACTCAATGTGCATCCAGATAGTGAGAAGTTCGAATGACAAGATACACAGCCATCCCCGTCGAAGAACCCAGCCAACAAGCGAAGTGTGGCATCCTTGGCTGTGCCCGGATCAGCACAAGACGTTCGCAGAGGCAAGTCGTACATGCGACCGTTTGCTTCAAAACACGTCAAGCTCGGCCATTGAGTCCGGTTCAGTATGCTCCTGAGCTGCATGTTCTTTTTACCGACCTCCTCGACTTTGTCTGATGGAAGTGCTGACAAGTTCTGGATTCCAGTGACGGCTGCCGCATGAGGCTCGGCTTGCCCACATTGACATGCTCTTACCAACTCGCTCCGCGGGTCCTTTGTAGATTGAAATGGGCTCGAGCTCACCCACGACCGAGCTTGGAACGACGTCACAAGCTTTACACATGTTCGCAGTTGACACGGCCGCAGTGGTCGCACGGTGTGCATTGCTTTCCACATGCCCTGTTTATGCATCTCAGCTGGGCATGTGCGTGTGCATGGTCCAAGCTCCGATTTTCCAATCTACAAAATGCCGACTGAGAAGTCTGACAGGCGAGCTCGAGCTGAAAGAACTCCATCATTGCAGAGTTGTTGATCTGGTATTCAGTGGGCAGGTCTAACCTGCGCTTTTGCAGAATCCTGAGTAATATGTCGGTACAGTAGCAGCAGCACTGTTGAGATCGGCTGAGCAATCATCCACGGTGAGCTTGCTAGGTCCTACATGACAAAGACAAAGACTTCGAAAGCTTTGCTTTGATATCTTGCCATTTCCCACATGACGGCAGGGTTCTCGGAGATCTTGCATCGTGGCCTTTGGACAAACTTGCAAACCCTTCCGGCCTCCGAAGTTTTACGACATACATCCAGGTACGTATACACGCATGCATGCATGCATGCATGCATGCATTACATTACATTACATTACATTACATTACATTACATTACATTACATTACGTTACGCTACATTACGTTACATTACGTTACATTACGTTACATTACATAACATACATACGACAACATGTTCGTTTATTCCTCTAACCTAAGGCCCAAACCCTATACAGCTTAACGACCTAAGTCATGCTTGCCATGGCTCCTGAAGTGATCACCATCAGACTTCGAACCTCAGACCGGCCCTGAGCCCAAGTACTATAGATCCCTTACGGAACCCCTTTATAGTAACTCACATCCCTTCTAGAATCCTTATAGAGCCCCCTTGTAGTACCCCTTTTAAGGGAGCCCCCTTCTTCCTCAGATTCCTGACTTGCTGTGTCCTAAACCCTAAACCTTATAGCTTAAACCCTATAAACCCTAAACCTTGAGGGAGCCTCCTTTCTGAAACCCGCCCGGAGCTGAGAGCAAGGGATCGTCCTGGCCCCTGGAGCTGCCACGGGACTTCGCCCGCTCCTCGCGCTCAGGAAATGCTTTTGGTCTAGGTAGTTTGGGTCTTAGGGTCTATAGGGTGTTTAGGGTTTGGGGGTTTCGGGGTTTAGGGTTTAGGGTTAAGGGGTTAAGGGTTTGAGGGCTTTGGGTTTCGGGTTGGGGATCAGGGTCTGGGTTTGGGGTTCGGGAGGGTTTAAGATTTAGGCTTTTCGGGTCTTATCTTCAGGACCTTAGTCCTTTGGAGGTTGCTTTGTTGAGTGGGATCGCCACTGTTCAAGCATGTCGCGAACTCCAAAATCCCTTAGCGCCTTAGCTTAGCAATCCTTAACAAGGAACCCCATGAGGACTCATGACATGTACTCCCGTTTTCCTTTCTTTCTTCATGAGAGCCTCGATGAAAACGAGATTCAGGCCTTTAGGGCGAATATGTGGCTAGCCAGCAGCAGCTCGAATAATCTGCCTAAAGGATAAGAACCTCACTGTATTTGCAGCTTGATGCAAATTATTTTAAGGAGCCTTACGCCGAAGCTTCGACGAAAGGATCCACCAGGGCACCTGAAGAACGTCTTCGTCCAGCATGTCGTAGAGAACGATCCTTGCCAACCTGAGGCAAGGAGACAGACGTTTCGAACGTTTAACCCAAACAAGCCCAACAGCTATCAGGACGTCGCGGGTACTTGGCTCTACTATCGAGTTTCAGGGCTGCATGCCAACACAAATCTGTGTATCACTTAATCTCGGGTCTGCAGCATCCCCCTCAAGGGGATCTTCTATCTCAAAATCGGGATTCAGAAAAGTGGGGCTTCGAAGAGGGTATATGAAACCAAGGCCCCGATTCGCCCTAGTACTGCCTAAGGTCCCCTATAGATCCCTACCTAGTAGGATCCCCAGTACATACCCTGAACCCGCCCCCCTTTAAAAGATACCAAAGTCTCAGGTAGGATCAAGATCTCTGTGGATCTCGGAGGTTCCTTGCTCCTATGGAGTTCGCACCTGCAAAAGACATTCGGGTGCGGGGCTTTCAAGGTGTCGAAAGTTTCCATCTGTAGTCAGGGTAACTATCACGGTGCCCCCTGCTGAGACATTTTGTATAGCCAAAGCGCGCAACTCAAAACCCTGAAGTCCTGAATGTCCTGAAGCCTTGACTTAGTTCCCTGTGCGGCAGCCCGATAACAAGCTACAGCTGCAGGTAGCCGCGGAGGACGGGTATAGCATGTATCAGGTGCTCTGCACGTGTGGTGTATCCATGTGGCATTGATGGCAAGCACCCGCGCACGTGGATACCGTACAGCAGCAACGCTCCAGCACACCTGGGCCCGCACCATCGGAAGTAGTCTCCACGCCTGGCCGGAGCCCGAGCACTTGGAGTTCGTGGAGCTTGATTCTTGTGCGGTCTGAGCATGCTTAAAACGTATTCGCCAAAAACTTGTCCATGTTGAAGCCGTGACTGCAAAACCGAGTCCGGAGGGCTTTCTGAGGTCTTGAGCACGTCAGCGACTGAAAGAATGCCATGTGCAGACGTGGAGCTTGCGGAGTTCAGGAGATAGGTTGAAGTGCTCAGCGATGGCGCTTTCGGACGGTTTGCTTCAGGTCAAACACCTTATGTCCCAAATCCTCAACCTTCATCTGACCGCAAACCCCAAGCCGTAAATCTGGGGGCCCTGCTCATCTTTGCACAGCACGACGCCTTCGGTGAGCACCTCAACAGCACCAATCTTCCACACTAGGTCCTGCTTTCAGAAAACTCAGGGTCCGAGGACCCAAGACATTGGGCTCTGGGGCTTCGATGGGGTGCGATACGGCGGGAGGTCTGTGGCTCTACCTGGTCCTGCAGGGTACGGTCTATGTGAAAGCAACCAAGGAAGCTATGCCAACCTGGCTGAAACGAAGCCTTGATCGCAAAAGCAAATCGAATCTCCAATCCGACGCCCGGATTCCCACGAGCCCCAAGCGATGTCTTCCTTACAACCGAATCCTGCCTCAACCCTGGAGTCCGAATCTCCTATGCATCAACTCACCCTGCACCCCAATCACCCGAGGACTCTGCGCCGGTTGCCCAGGACAGGACGATGTCCTCGATGGTTTAGAGGCTTGCTTTGGGATTAGAAGTGTTTCGATTTTGGGAGCAGGCAGAAGCCCATTTCCAAGTCTTGATCTGCCGAAGACCGACCCCCCCCCGACACCGGACAGGAAAGTTACACACTCCTTTGCCGGAAACCCTAGACCAACGTGCCCAGCCCGACAGCTCCCCATTAGCAGCTGTTCAGTCCTCACCCAGCTCCCGCGCAGCCTCGCCAGTGCTATCCGCTAGGCGCTTACCCTAAGCGTCCAAATAGTCCAAAATCAAGTGCTTGGCTTAGGATACGGGTTAGTATTTGGGGGAGTGCTGGAGTATGAATCTGAAGTGCTTGAGCCCTTCGGGCGTTGACGATAATGTGTGAACCAATATATTTAAGTTAAGGTTTGTGAGTTTAGGAACTTGTTGGGGATTCAAAATCAGAGGGACATCAAAACTGCTCCGGTCCGTTCGATCATCATCCCTACAAAGGGCTGGCTTCCACAACAGCAGCTTCCCGCCCACACATCCTACAAAGAAAGCTTTGGTTATGAGCCTACTAATGTCTAAACCCGAAACCCCTAAAGCCCTAAACCCTAAACCGGCCTCGGGGTCGTCCGGCTGCAGCTCACCTGCCGCACACAAAGCTTCGTTGGTTGCGGACATGGAGCCTTGTGAGTTTGGTTTCCTGCAAGCAATGCGAGCGATAGTTTTCCGAAGCGGCTCTGGATGAGGGGTTCAATAAAACCGCGCCTTCGCTGTCCCCGGCGTCTGCCGCGCTGGTTGCTGAGGAGCTCGTTGACTCATCTTGGCCACAGGGGCTTGGGATCCCCAGGTAAGTTTGCCATCTTTAAGGTATAGAGGCTGTGCTCCTTTCTGGCTGGTCTCTCTATAGGGATTTGCAAGGGATTGTGCGGTGTCTGAGGCTGTAGGGCTTAGTTGTGTTGTGAAGAACAAACTTCAATGTTAGAATGACCGCAGCAACGTTGGTTGGTTGCAACGGCACCAACACCAACAAGAACCACATTGCATGGCATATGTTGAACATCGATTGTCGTTGGGCCTTCATAACTGAATAGGGTTTTGCGGTATGTCATACTTTAACTTTAACCATTTATAGGGGCTGCAAAACCCCAACTGCTCTTCCTGCTTATACAGAGCCCTATTGTAATCTCAGTGATACCGTGAGGCCCCCACCGATCGGCGCGGAGGTGTCGACGCTGTGCGTGCGGCTCAGGTCACCGACCTAAGGCTCTTCGCTGCGGAAAGGGTCCGGGGATGTAGCAAGTGGGGTGCATCGGGGTTTAGGGTTTAATTAGGGTTTAGGATTTAGGGCATCAGGAAGGCTACTCTAGTTTTGTTTGGTTAGTTTAGTTTGTTTCAAAGCCGCAAATTACAGTACGTGCACCCTAGTTACTCCAGAAATCTCCACGTAAGAAGCAAGGTTTATAACATGAGCCGATAAGAGCTAGGAGTAGTCAGACAACATTCATAACCAAAAAAACGCCAGGGGACACCAACCACCCGGCTACTCGCGGCATGCATGGTCGATGGTTTATTAACAGGCTCCTCTTAATAAACATCCCAATTAAAACACTCTACTATTCCTACTGAGCCCGAAAGAACTACATGCACTCATATAAACCAATCTTCATGCGCTTGTATTGGACAACGGCGAAAGAGTTCACACTTACGAGGCTTCAGGGTAATCAGTTTTCGGACCTGGGTAGTAGATCCCTCTTATATTAGGCCTCTACCATGTCATGCAAAGCCGAGGTACGAGCAGCCAGTAGCCTGTCCACCGACCCGCAACGCTACCATAATTCTGCTCTGACTAAAGCATAGATTCTCTAGGTCTCGAACCGAGAAGGCATGAAGCCTCCCAGAGCCTGAACCCTGAGCAAACAGAGCTACGGAGCCGGAAGAAGACTCTTGGCCCAAACATCCCTCCACCAGCTGAGGCGGCCGGCAGATACGTAGGGGAAGGAGGGAATGTCGCCTTTCAGGCACCGAGGGCCTCGGAGAATCGGAAGTTTT